CAATGTGATCAGAAATTACTTTCTTCATTTTAATTCTATATAAGATTCTTCGTGATTTTATTCCTTCTATCTTATTTGTATTCCTTGTTTGACTTTGTGGTTTACTTTCCCCTTATTTTTGCATGTTTCATTAAATTGCTTTTGATTTTATTTCCCCTCATGAATTTGAAATTTCTACTTTAGATTGCCAGATAATTACTTGTCACCTTTCCTTTTTCTGTTAACATATTCATACAATATGATTCAATTATTTCAATGTACAGCTAGATTGAACTACTTCAACCCCTACCTACATTTTTAATGTGTACCCACTATCATATTTAAAGTTGCCCAATTTAGAAATATACAGTTGATAGTGATTCTTGCCTGTATTTCATCCTGCACATGGTTCTCCAGGTTATTTATCAGCTTAGTTCCTACAAGTCTTTAATACTTTAGGCACAGGCAACTTTTTTAAATGACTTTTTTCTATGAAGCAAAGTTGTTTATTAAGGAAGATTTTATGTTGTTGTTCCTGTTATTAGGCAACTACCAATAACAATATTCTAACCAGTATTCTACCAACTGAGCTATAATCAACATTTTAATTTTTCTACACTTATTTGTGTGTGTGTGTGTGTGTGTGTATGTGTGTGTGTGTGCGTGCATGTGCGCCCATGTTAGGAAGCATGTGTGGAGGTCAGAGCATACCCCATGGGAGTCATTCTTGCCTTCTACCATGTGGGTTCTGGGGATCAAATTCAGGTTGTTGGGCCCTGGAGGCAAGGGCTGTTACCCACTTGATATCTCAAAAGCCCATAATCCAATTTTTTGTTTTGTTTTGTTGGATTTTTTTGGTTTTTGGTTTTTGGTTTTTTGTTGTTTTTTTGTTTTTGTTTTTGTTTTGTCTTTTGGAAACAGTGTCTCTGTGTAGCCCTAGCTGTCCCGGAACTCACTATGTAGACCAGACTGGCCTTGAACTCATTAAGATCCACCTGTCTCTGCCTCTCACATGCTGGGATTAAAGGCATACACCAAAACACCCAGCCATAATCCACCTTTAAAACTGGTAATATAACCACAAAATTTAACAGTTTAAGAACATTCTTAGATTATGAGCTTCTTCAAAACAGATTCTGTGGAGTCCCTCCCTTAAAGAAGATCAGCTCTTCCTCACCCAGCAGTAATCAGCTTCCCAATGGTTCTTCAGCTAATATTGGGGCCTGCTGTCCATTTCCATAGTTTTATACTGGGTTTTAGTCTGCTTGAGTTTGCATGGGTCTTGTGCATGCTGTCATCATTGCCGTAAGTTCACATGAGCAAGGTCCCAGGAGCCTGTAAGAGTGTTTATGGACATGCACCTCCTCCCTGGCTCTTACAATATTTTTGCCCCCTCTTCCACAATGGTCCCTGAGTCCTGGTGGGTAAAGTTTAGTATAGGAGTCCTGTTCAAGGACCCACACTCTGCAGATTCTTATTTTCTATGGTTTGGCCATTTGTGTCCCTTTGTGTGCATTGTCCTCTGTTTCCTGAGGGAGCTTTGTTGATGAGAGTTGAGAGATGCATTAGTGTTCTCTCTACCCCTTGTTCCACTTGGGTATAGAGGTTCCATTGTAGATGTGTCATTTAGAGTTGCACTATCTTTGTGTGTGACCAGTTGTGAAACTCTGCAATACTCTTCATCTGTTGCAAAATAAGCTTCTTTGATGAGTGGTAACAGCATCCTTGTCTGTAAATATAAAGATCCATATTTAGCATATAGTAATAAATTACATTTGTCTAGAACTGTGATAGCCTTGGGGTTTCCTCTAAGATCTATGACCTCCCCAGTCATGTGTATTTGGCTATGTTTACAGTACCACACACTAGAGCCCTATGGATGAACTTGCACTGAGGAATATCTGGGAAGACTAACTTGACTCAATAGGCCTTAACATAAATGACAGAATGCATGAGAGCCAATGGGAGAGGGGGCTATGGAAGGGTGACAATGGAGAAGGAGGTGTAAAAATGATTAATATGTTGTATATAAAATACAAAAAATATTTTTTTTTCTGTTTTTGAGACAGGGTCTCCCTGTACCTCCAGCTGTCCTGGAACTCACTATGTAGACCAACCTGGCCTTGAACTCACAGAGATCCACTTGCCTCTGCCTCCCTGGTGCTGGGATTAAAGGCGTGCACCACCACGCCCAGCCCAAAAAAATAATTTTTAAAAAAACAGATCCTGTATCTTGTTCTTGTCTATATTCTCAGCTCTTCCCTGGCATATATGCATTTTATAAATGTTACACATTTATAAATCTTATAAATGTCTGTAATAAACTTGAAGTAACTAATTGTTTCAGAGTACAAAAAATGTACAACTCACTATGAGGAGAAAGCAATTGGGAAATGGAATTTCTTTCTTCATTAAAAGAAAATTACCCACCAGGCATGGTGGCACATGCCTTTAATCCCAGCACTCTGGAGGCAGAAGCAGGCAGTTCTTTGTGAGATCAAGGCCGGCCTAGTTGACATAGTGAGTCCCAGACCAGCTGGAGCTATAGGCAGACCCTGTCTCAAAAAGATGGAAAAAAAAAAAAAAGAAAAGAAAAGATAAAAAGGAAAATTACTCTCTTAGGTTCAGTAATAATTTCTGATATAATATTCAGGAATTTTGATATCTTCTCTTCTACCAAATAAACAGAAGAATTTTATTTTCTTTCTTTAGTATTCAAGTATTTCATTGCCTTAAGCATGAAGGAACAGGTGGCAAAACACTATTGGTAGATGGATTCTATGCAGCACAACAGGTACTTCAAAAGGCTCCTGAAGAATTTGAACTCCTCAGCAAAGTGCCATTGAAGCATGAATATATTGAAAATATTGGAGAATGTCACAACCACATGATTGGAGTTGGGCCAGTCTTAAATATCTACCCATGGAATAAAGAGCTTTATTTGATCAGGTAAGTACCAAACAGCTATCCTCCAGTGTGACATAGTTATCATATGTTATTATCCTGATGTAATATTTCCTAAGATACTTCTATGAGCCATATTTTAATCTTGCTATTCTATAATTCTTATTATAAAAAATTTATATTCTTATTACAATTTTCATAAACTAATAAATAAACCATCAAGGAATACTGTATTTGGGGGGGAAAGGGGGCATTGGACATAGTATTTTAAAAATGAAACATCTGTCTCTCTCCAACCTGCAGGCTTCTCTCTCTGGGATAAGTCGATTGGGCCCTCCATGCCTTGATGACCTCAGCCTTGTTCACCCTCCCATCTCCCCTGCTGGTCTCTCCTCCTAGCCTGGGTCCTGTCCCATTCCTTGCCTTGGTGCCCCAGACACCTGGGGAACCACCACTGCTTCTTCCTGATTCTGTTCATCCAGACCAACTCAGTTCCTTCTCAGGTCCCCAGGGGTGCTCAGGGCCTGGCCCCGCCCTCACCTCCCTCTGCCTCCCTGGGTCCCCACAACCCTCCAGCCTCTTCCTGGATGCTGGCTGACCTTTCCGCTTCCTGGTCCTTTGCATCCAGACCAACCCAGCTCCTCAGTGCAGTCCTCAGGGACCTTTGGGGCACCCTCCCGCCTCCATCTTCCTTTGCACCTCTGGGTGGCATGGCCACCAGCTGCCCCAGACTAGCAACTTTCCTGGGCCCTGCTCCCAGGCCAGTCCAACCCCCAAATTCCTAAGGCCAAAATCTTTCCTGGAGGGATCCAGACCTTAAGAGAAAGCCTGAGAGCATCTGATCCTCATCTGACTT